AAGGCTGAAATAAATGGTTTGAAGGAAACAATAAGTAAAAACTATATTCATTATGAATAAATATATGTTTCATGAAAATCCTACTAATACATGAATAAACTAGTGGTGTATGGTATCATGCGTTAAGGCAAATTGCTGGAACTTTCCGCACCGTGACGAAATTTTCGAAGAATTTTAAATGTTTCCAATTAGATTATTATAAATACTGAAACATTGTATAATATTCATAAGATATATATAAGCTGAATTACAAAATTAAAAAAAAATTATTTATTCGAGGAATATAAGTGAGCTTTAGAACTTTAGCCAGAATTAAAATTGAAATCTGAATTATTTTCGATATACAAAGAAAAATTTTTTGAAAAAAAAAAATTGAAATATTTTTCTTTCCCAAAAGTAATTGTTTTGTCAACACAAACAGCAAGTTTTTTTAATCATTCAAATCGGATGCTTAGTTCTCTCAAAAACTGCCATTTTTGTACATTTAGCTCTGTATCTTCGAAATGGCTGGACATGCCTTTGCCAAAACCTAATCACTACTTCTCCCAATCATTACAAATTGAATGTTTTTTGGATCATTCATATGGGATACTCCGTTTATCTTAAAAATTCGATTTCTATTTTCTGCACTCTTTACTCTGTATCTCCGTAACGGATGGACCTGCCTTTGCCAAATACTAATCAGCATATCTCCTTATCAATAAGAACCGAATGTTGAATGAATCATTCAAATCGGTTCATCTGTGCGCTCGAAAACGTGAACGAAAAAATGTGGACACACAAACAACACACAAACACACATCCATTTTTTCTGAGGTATGGCGTTGCAAATTGGCGTTGCACAATTTCTTCAAAATTTCATGTCTGTTAAATACGCGAGATGTGCAACCCAGGAAAAGTTCTTAAAATTTTCAGCAAGAATATTTTTTTGAGAAACCATAGAGATTTCAGCTTCATTTTTAAGAGTCCATACTCAATTTAAAATATTTCCGCGAGAAAGCCACCTTACTTCTGTATAATAAAGAAGGTAAGTCTCAGCTTCACCATCCTGACATAATTCACAAAATAGCCGCGTATTTAGTGCATGTCCCTTGATAAAATTTATAATCTTGATAACATCATTAGTGTGGGTTATTTTCCCTTACAAAAGCTGAAAAACCATAAATATGACCCATCATAGATGGAGCTTAATCCAAAGACACCAAACTGCAATTTCCCCATTTTAATCTTTGCGCTTTGAAGTATTCGTTTACTTTATTATAAATATCAATTTCACGACATCTGAACTCGAGAAGAAAACAAAACAGCAATTTCTTTTCAAAATTATCTGCACCTTTATAGCAAACATACACCAGTTGTGAATTACTACTGAAATCCGTTGTCTCAAGCTGAATAGCAAAATATTTAGTTTGTTTTAATGCAAAAACTTCACATTTTTTGCTAATGAAGAGATTCATTTCGGTAGTAGGTTTTACTAAAGCTGATTTAAACCAAGCAAGATATTTAACTTGTTTTAGTGCGAAAACTACTTATTCCTTCACATTTTCTGCTAATGCAGAAATTCTTTCCGATAGTAGGTTTTACTGAAGCTGATTTAGTGCTTTGCAAATATATACTTTTTACCCCCAAAAATTCCACTTTTACCCCATTTGGGGTAATTTACCCCGGTTCCCCGACCACTGATTTAAGACAACCAGAGTCCACATTGAGCAAGTTTTGCGTTATACTCGTAATCGCGATAAAGATTGTTGCAGAGTTGTAAAATATTTTTAGTCCTCATATTTAGTCGTTTTCCACAAATTTAGTAAAATATAAAGTATAAGTAATTATTACTTGAGGTTTTCTTTTTAGAATATGCTAAATCAAAGAAACCATACAAATTTGACTAGATCAAAATACATTCATGTTATTATGATAAATAACTACTATTATTATTTCGTTTTATTTATGCTCAAGTATCATTGCTCAAACCCTTCAAACTTCTTAGAAAGAAGACTAAAACAAGAACTCTATTTTTATTAGGAAACGAGACGAATCGTTTCGTAATTATGTTTACAAATATAGGCATCTATAATGATTTGAATTAGAATTATAATTCTGAAGAAAAAAACAAAATAAACTCAGCCTCCACTCAAAATTACAAGGCGACTCATTGATCTGGTTGCTTCGAGATTATGAACTGCTTCATAAAAATAGACTTATGAATCGTCTGTGATACGTATCGTAAACTAATTGAATATGCACAATGCACAGATGCACTGACTATTTTAATAAACAAATATAGTCACAAAATTTGAGTCATAACAAATAATTATAACAAAATTACTCATTTTGATTCAAATTATAATTATCAGTGGGCGGTGTTAAGTATGAAATATGCATTCCAGAAAGACGTATTAGAAAAATAAATAAATATAGAGATACTAAAGATAATATTAAATATAATATATTGACAGTGATATACGTTTTATTCAAAGACAAGTAATTATTTTTGGTCTTATTTATTATATTATTATTTCACACAATAAAGTCAAACAAGAAGGTAGTCTGAAATCATTTGAACGGATAACTAATCAAATGCTTTCAGACTACCTTCTTGTTCGATTTATTGTTTAATATAATAATAAATAAATACGGCTAAAAATAATTTTTAAACATAATATCATACTTAAGTACAGACTTAATATTTAATTCATTACTAGTACTTCATCAATAACTATCACAAATTTCACCCATTGAACAATAGAACAACTTGGCCAAGTATTGTATATGTTTCTTTAAATTTTTTTTTTTTGAATATATAACAAAGAACTGGGTTAAAATCAAAAACGTAGTGTACCATAATCAAAATTAGAAAGATATATTTTAATTATATAAATTATAATTATAAAATGTCATTGATCCAATCGATGCAACGATAGCGACGCCACTGGTTGGTTCATCAAGCAATTGTGAAAAGAAAAGGAAACGGTATCAAACCCTTGTTGGAAAAAAAGGGTTTTTCACTATGTGATAAAATTTGAAATAAAAGCTACAAACCTCCCATAAAAAACTATATACAAAAAAGGCAAAATACATTTCATTCATAATAGTTCGTAGACCGTCCTCGAAAATATCTTACAAAAGTAGTTTAATTAAAATTTTTGATTTTATTTAAATTATTATGCATATTTTGCTGAAAGACATTGATTATTCCTCGATTCTTACCAGTTTAGCATGACCAATTCTTATTTTGTCTTGAATTTTCATCAGAAACAATAGGGCATTTTCTATAATAATATTATAGATTATCATTAATATTTTACGATTATCCGTAAAAAAACAATACCCAAGGAAAGGCAAAAGATATTTCATTTTCATACTTTCCTCGAAAATATCTTACAAAAGTAGTTTAATTAAAGATCTTGATTTAATTTAATTTATTATGCATATTTTGCTGCAAGACATTGATTATTCCTCGATTATTACCAGTATAGCATGACTAATTCGATTGTGTTTGATTTTTATCAGAAATAATAGGGAATTTTAACATTAAGTTATCGATTGGTGTATATAAAGTTTATTATAAGTTATATTATAAACATCTTATAGTTAGAACTCGTATTATTTAAAAATCATCATATAATGTAATATATTAAATACTATTGTTTAGACAAATAATTATATATATATATGTCCATTTGTTAAAATAATTTATTTAGTAACCAAATATTTCAGGAATTAAAACGAAAAAATAGTTTGGGAATCATGAGAAGATTCTAGTTTCCTGATACAAGCGAGATGCGTCCATACTAGCATCAACATATCACTCGTATTTAAAATTTTATTGATTTGTAGAATAATTGAAACCATTCTTCAGACTTAATAATTTTAGTTAATGAAATATTAATAAACGAAAGTTTATCTACATTTTTACATCTGATTATAGGTAAAAATTATCCTTCATTTAATCATAGTTCATTACAACTGACGGTTTTAAAAAACATATTTAATATATCATTTATAGATGACATATATTAACTGAATCATCATGTAGCAAGAATGTAATATTATTAAATGTTCAGATAATAAAGTTATTTTTTTACTGTTTTACCAAGTTTTGTATATGTCTTGATTTGTTTTTTACCGTTCTTTACTTATTTCCAAAAGTATTCATGAATTCATAAAAACTGTATTTAATTGAAATCATGTGCGATTGAAATCATAAGTAATTAGTTGATCATAAATGAAAAGAATAATCACATTAGTTGATTTTCAAATTTCTCAAGAAAATATCAGTAAAAATTAAAAAAAAAATATTATAAACATATGTGCAATAAAGAAAATACAAGAAAAATAAATTAATAATAAAAACGAGTTTTGTGAAAATTGAAAATTGCTTTTTTAAAATAATTTTCTTTTAGAACATCAACTATTAAATAACAAACTCCTGATTGATATTTGAAAAGTACTATAAAGCATATAATCATAATAAAATTCCTTAATTACTCTATTATATTATAGTAACTTCCACATACTCTGTTTTACTGTTGCTATACTACTACATACTATAGCAATTTATTGTTTATAAATATATAAAAGCTCCTAGATATTTTAATTTTATAGACTTTTTAAGTCACTATAATAAGTTGTAATTTATGATATAATATTAAATAACAAATTTTTAATATAAAAATAGTGAAGAAAGTATTAATGTGAGTATTATATCAAACTAAAATATCAAACCCTAATAATGTAAGTATTAAATTAAGATAAAAGTTACTAAATATGTAACATGTTCTGAAAAAAAGTTTGTTTCTAGAAATATGACTAATTGAGGTATGTTTCATTTGCGAAGTATTCTAGAAAAACAAATGTATTTCCTAATTATACAGTTTTACCAAATAAAGGCTCGAGTGGGTAGACATCTATCCACTGTCTGCGACTATCTCACTGTACCTCTCTCTACACATATACGCCGGTCTAAACGCTTCGGCAGCCATTTGCTATATAAGATTCAAACGAGGAACATCAAGCAAACTATCAAAAAAAATCATACAACTTTTATAATTACCTAAATCGTAATTAGTGTACCTAATTCAACTTTAGTGTCTTATCATTACCAAGTGTCGTGGCACCACCGATTAGTACAAAAATCGCTAAGTGTTTAGTGATACTCTAATTTATCCAATTAATTATTTTTGTGTGTTGTGTAATTTTAAATAAATTTTTATAAAAATGGCTGATAGTGGACTTAAACGCGATATCCCAATCAAGCTTGGAGATTTCAGTGTAATTGATACAGAATTCAGCAGCATCAGGGAAAGATTTGATGCCGAAATGAAGAAAATGGAAGAGGAAATGTCTAAATTCAGATCCGAGCTTATGAATAGAGAAAGTAACAACTTCTTCAAAAGCACAAGCAGGTAACAACTTAATAACAATATTAAATATATAAAATAAATCTAAAAAGCATGGTTTTTACATGACTTATAAAAATATAACATTTATAGAGTGTGGGTTTTAATTTATAATTTTATTATCATTACTCTATCAATAATAATTTATCTTCTTTTATTCAGTAATTAAATAATGAACAGCATTATATTTGAGTTAAACATATTATTTTTATTGATCTTTTGCCATCTGTCAAATTGTACAATTGTCAAAATATTCCTAAAAGTAGATTCTTTGGTAAATTTTGACATATGCAGAGAAATAAAACTTTAATATTATTTCATTCAAAAATAATTAAGCTATTTTACTATGGTGAGCTTGTTCTCTATATTTTTTTATTAAAAGAAGTCGTATATTTCCAATCGTATATCAAAGTTATTAAAATGCTGCTACTGGGTCATAAACAACCCTAATTTTGACAGTTGCTTTTTTGACAGATGTTTTTGATTTTCAAAAATAATTATTTTTTCTGTGGATTTTTTTATGTAAAAAACATACAAAAGATAGCTAAAGAAAGAAATATTTAAAATTCTTTATATCTATTCAAATTTTGTCATTTCATTTATCAAATAAAAAAGAAATTCGGTCCAAAGGTCCAAAGAAAATTAACACTAAAATAATTTAATTTTTTAAATATTCTATATAATTTTTCAATAAGATTTTTAAACGGCTTATTTTAAGCTTTACCGATACTGTTTATATATTGCATTTCTCTATAATAATAAAGATTATTATTTTATACAATTAACTTTATTAAGAAAAATAAGTTATTCTGTAGCAAAATCATAGATTACTGGGCTAATGTTTATCCGATTATCTTTCAATATTTACTTGAATTCACCATGAACTCAACTTTTCTTCAAGATTCAACTTAAAATAATGTATTTAATTCATATTGATAGTATATATTTTACTTTAACAACTAAAAGCCACAAGGGCAGCAGAATAGGGGTAGTTGTTTGAGCAGCTGCATATAAATAACATATGTTACTCTGTCATATGATGATGACAAAATTTGAACTGATGTGAAATATTTAATGCAATCTTTCTTGAGCATCATAAGAAATTCATTGTTTAATGAAATAATATTAAAAAATTATTCATTAAGTATTGGTATTTAAACTCTTCAAAAAGTTCGGTTTTATTCAAAATTCTATTTTAGAAACTATTCATTGTGTGGGTGTTTGTGAGAATGTATCAATTTCAGCCGGGTTGTTTATTCATCGTACAATGCTATATTTAGATTTAGTAAAAAAGTGTATATGAGCACTTTTTTTAGAAAATATTTCATTTTAAATTTCAAAAGTGAGTTAATTTATCGAATCATTATCCACTGAAAATATGTGATTATTAAAAAATAAATTAAAAATCTGAATATATAGTTTTTTTGTTAAAATTTGCTCGACATGACGTCATGTCTATTAGCGTCTTGTTAATACCTTGAGTATGTCTCGCAGGTGTTACATGTTTTTAGTATAGAAATTTATACGTATGCAAATTTGGTGCATATGAAATTAATGTATTTGCAGTTCATAAAATATAATAATAAAAATATATAATAAAAAATAAATGAACTGCAATTTCGTAAAGATCACGTATTGTTTACCAAAGTATGTGCGTGAAGATTTATGTACAACATTTATACAAATAGATCGAATAGAACTCAAATTAAGGACAATTTAACATTACTCATTACCATTTACATTACTCTTTTCTACCTATAACAAAAAAATGCAAATTAATCTACTGAAATTTTCCAAATTTTGGAAATGTGATTGAGTTTTTACATATGATTATCTGCTACTTTAACGGATTTTAAATGGATTTAATGAATCAAATAATGATTAATTAGAAACGCTATACTATTATTCGTTAAGGAAATAATTTAAATTTCGAACAGTAAAAATGCTTATGCAAAAAAAAACTTTATATAATTTTCAGTCCATTTCATCACCAATAATATTTATAAGTATTAAAGAAATTGATTGAAATTTTCATTACCAATCAATATTATATTTAAGATTTCATTCGTATAATGCTAATCTTCATCTTACCATTACGATATTTATTGGTTCGTTTTGGCCGCGAAAATGTTATAAACTTTTAATATATATTTCAATGGACATTTTATTGAGCATAAATTTTGAGTTATGGCTTGCTACTCGTATATAACACTTCAACAAACACAAACATTTGCGATATAAACCCCTAATAGTATTATCGAATATGAAATTACATGCAATAAACTTCATTTTGTTTTGAATTCATACTATTGCTGTCGATAAATAAAGGTTTTATTAATATTTTAATATTTTCAAACAGGCTGCGCTCGATACCACCAAAAGAGTTATTGGTTCAAATTGAATGCAAAAGGTCATTTGTATAATAGTATTATTATTAGACTATTTAAACAGAAGCTTTAAATTGATAAAGTAAATATTATGGAAGTAACGTATTTACTGTTTCGGAAAATATCTATATTTAAAGTTAATGTAGGTCAAAATTAGAGATATGACTTCATATCTGGAAATATCGGTGACTACATTTTGAACATTTCAATCCATTCGTCGATATCACTTTATCATGGAATTTAAAAAAAAGGTGTGATTAAATCAACATATAAATTTGATCATTTATCATTTGAACGCGTTATAAGAAAAAAAAGTATAGATAATATCTTATTGCAAAATCTGTTCAGGCAAATAAGAGTAATGTAAACCTACATTGTGTTTAGTAATCTATAATTGCAATTTGTTGTTTAAAATATATTTACTTTTCTCTCTATCCAAATTATATATCTAATCGTCCAACCATGTGTTTAATATATACTATAAAGTCAGAGATATTTAATAATATATTATATGTAAATTCTCAATATATTCATTGAATCGAATAGTATATATAAAGTAGGGCGGACGCACAGGTCGAATTTGAATTTCATTAATTATACTGTCTAAATCAAATTGTTTAATACGTGTTATTTGTTGTGATATAGTCAAACAACTATCAAACTATGTTCAGTAAAATTTCCAAGCAAATCTTAATATAAAAATATGTTTTTAGCTATTTTCTTAATATGTGCCACCTTCCCCTTTTTTAACCCAATAGGCTGATTAAAAAGTGTCAGTCATCGGCCAAGCAGATACAATTTCTTACTTTAAATTTAAAAAAATGTTACAAAATAATAGCTAAAATATCCAACCAATGCGAAATATAATTTTTTCAGTTTTTACAATGATTACACCGTATATAACGATGGAAATATACGGTGAAATACCAGGTCATATAACCATGATCTGGTATTTCGTGAGAAAAATGCATAAGCAGAGATGAAGTAAAGATGTATCAATTTAATCAATGAACAAGAAATATATTTTTTAATTTTTTGTTAACTTTATATAGTTTTTTATTTACTATTTTCTTATTAGTTTATACCTTTGCCAGTGAAGTACCCCACCCACATGCAAGCTTTTATAGAGGCCAGAAAAGGTGTTGGCCATACAAAAAAAGCTGTTATCTAACTTAAAAATAACTATACGTTTTATAAAATAATTAAATAACGTTTACGTAAAAACTAATTAAAAGAGCTCAAAACCAAAAAAAATCTATCGACGAAGCAAAATACTATTGTTTAAATATTTATATGGTAATTTGTCTTCTGGTAGCAATGTTGTAAGAATTAAGATGATGTCTCATTGCTCATCCTTTGTATTTACTTTAAATAATAGTGATAATTTAAAATAGTATCGTTAAAAAATCTATACTTTAATTGATTTTGAGATAATGGTCGTGAACCTTTTTACCCGCGTACCTTTAAGTCCCGCTCTACTCTACTTATTAAATAGCCTTTAAAATTTAAAAGTTTACCATATTGCATTTTTTGCTACATATAGTCCAGCCATTTAAGCATGAATTAGGAAAAGAATCTCGGAATTCGAGATACTCAGCTGTAAGTCTGTAAATACTTGTATATTGACGCCCTAAAGTTGTCTCAAAACCTACATATGGTAGGGTGTCAATACCATATGTAGGTTTTGAGACAACTTTAGGGTGTCAATATACAAGTATTTACAGATTTACAGCCGGGTATCTCGAATTTCGAGGTGAACTTACTATAATGACTGGACTAATAGGCATAGCTTTAGTTATCTCAGGTGCATAATATTTAAAAAGTGGTATTATAAAATATGCAGATCGAACAAGCGTCTATTTCCATATAATTTTAAATATTAATAACCAATATTCTAAAGAGAATTAATGATTTAATAATGAATCGATTATTAATTGAGTGATCAGTTTGTTTTTTATTTGAACACATTTTTAACGGTTAAATTTAAGCCAATTACTGAGTTGTTTTTTCCAACATGCCCTTGCAGTATAGAATGTCCCTTTTCGGCCGGCTATTGTAAATTCATCAAATTTATTGAATGTCCCATACTGGACAGTTGTAAATAAAAGAGATAATAAAAAAAAAAAAATTAAGTCAACATTGTTTCTCTATATTATGATGTTCAAAAATGTTGTTTGTATGAGCCTCAGAAACACTTTATCAAAAGCATTTAAGTTTGTCGACCAGCGTGTCGGAGCGGATGTTGAAAAATTCCTTTTTCTATTATTTTGTGAATGAACTCACGACCATATATGTGTACAGTTTGTATTCAGGTTGCCAGACACGTATCAACAGTTCCGTATCAAAGAAAAAAATCGCCAATGCATATTAAAAACAATTATAATCGAGCATTTTAAAAATGACAAAAATAATTAGATAATTTGCTGCATATTATAGGAAACGATTGCAAATATTTTTAAACAAAATTTTGTTCCCAAAAGGTCGTAAATTCGTTTCTCAATTATGCTGAATTTTTGGGCAAATAGTAATTGTATATATGTGAAAATATCCACGTGTGATATTTTATTATTTACGCTTAAGATATAATTGTTATATCACATATCAGATTTTATTATTATT